CAAATAGATATAGTTTAATAAACCATGCTTGGAATGCTTTAGGTTTTTCATATGAAAAAGGCAACAGTACTTGTCATAAAAAAATTACTTAGTTATATAATTTCTATAACTTCTACTGACATGTATTGGAAAAAAGTAATGGTCAAAGTGCGTGCTGGAGTATGTTTTGATTATAAACGACATCATTTGGAGACATTGCAGTACAGGTTTTTGGAGCATGTTCTTTTGAAAGCCTTCATGTGAAGTCAGTCTGTTGTAACAGCTTCTGATCTTCAGCCTTTTATCATGTAGGCCCATCTATTTCTATTTGTAAATACCTTTGAATTTTGCAGGTATACATGGGGACTTGGAAGCCTGGGGCAGCTTGGGCATCGCTCGCTTCAGTCTGGAGATAAGGAGCTAATCCCAAGGCGAGTTGTTGCCCTTAAGGAATAGTAACTAGGGATGTGTCTTGTGGTGGGGTTCACTCTTGTGCTGTAACGGAAGGTGGAGCCCTCTACGGTTGGGGCGGAGGACATGTAGGCCAGCTGGGGCTTGGACCTCAGAACGGTTTCTTTTCCTGCGCTCTTAATGGATCCGACATGCTACTTCGTAACATTCCAGTCCTGGTCATACCGTCAGGTGTCCGGCTTGTTACTTGTGGTCACTCGCACACACTTGTATCTATGAAAGATGGCCGTATATATGGATGGGGCTATAATAGTTATGGTCAGGCAGCTAATGAGAAATCTACTTATGCTTGGTACCCTTCTCCGGTTGATTGGTAGGCCACCTACTTCCATCTCTCTTTTATGAGTGTGAAATGTGTAACTATTCTTAGTAGTTGATTAGCACATTATGTGAAGTCTGAAATCTTTTTCTGCGGTATAGGTGTGTTGGAGAGGTGAGAAGACTTGCTGCAGGTGGCGGGCATTCAGCTGTGTTAACTGATGCATCGTCCTTAAAAGAACTATGCGAGTTTAAGCTAGCAGAGACTGTAAATAGGTCGAACGCTCGGCTAATAGAAGATGTTGCATCACGAACCGGGGCTGATGCATTGGCACGCCTGTGTGAGAAATTAAGGTATGGACAACTTTTTTTTGGGCTCATATTGGTGTTCTGTGTGGCTGAATTCTCATGCAATCTGTTCTGCGATCCAGTACAAAAGGGGGTGGGGGTAAGAGAGTACTTAAACTCAATCTATTTGTGTGAGCCAATTTACAAGAACTAGAGCAAGCATATGTCTAGTAAAGTGCATAGTCTGCCAATGATAAGTTTCTGGAACAGACGGAAATGAGACGTTGCTTTTATGTCTACTAAAATGCATAGTTTTTTGGAACAGCCTTTCTTTTACGGTCTCCTGATCTATTTATTTTGTGTGCATCGATGTTTCTTATTATTGGCATTTTGCAGGGAACATTTGGTTGAGCACGGAGACTCTGAACTTGTGGAAATGCACATGGTTGAAGAGATTGAGGCCAAAGCCGGTTAGACTCGTAGCGAATCGATGTGGCCCTGGTTCCATTTCGCCATACACATTGATTCAAGCATTAGCGCTGTTGTATTATATCACCGGAAGTAGCAATTGTTTTCTACTTGCCTGAAACCTCATTGGTGGTCTCCCAAGTGTGTAACAGAGGAGTGGAGGCTCTGTGTGTATCATGAACTTCCATGTCTAAACATATAAGTTGGGAACTACATGAAATTATACCTGCAAACTAGAAGGTCGGTGAATTCGATAAGCCGCACAACTTGTGCTTTATATTGTTCAAATGTTGTTCAGGTTGGCGTGGTTTATCATACATTTGAAATTCATGCTGAATACTGGTGAAGGAACAAGTAGTTGGGTGATTGGATTTTCGGCTCGCTCTCGCATGCCTCTCGCTCTGGCTCTCGCGACGCTGCACCTCCCGCCCGCCATAGCTGCCGCCCCCGCAGATCCAGCACCGCAGCATGCCTCCGCGTCGCCGAGTGGCGCGGATGCCGGCCACACCCACACCTCCCCCACCCCAGCCACTTTCCCCTGCCATCTACGAGAGATTCCCCGAGTTTCTGTGGCTGATCTCTCCGATCCCGCAAGTAGTTCTCATGGCGACCAGATTTGCGGGGTGGAGGGAGCGTGCGACCAGGATCCGGGACGCCACATTCGAGTGGATCCGGTGCGTGCAGGAGTGGAAGGCGGCAGACCAGGCGGTGGCGACGGTGACCGATCCGGTGGCGAGATCCGCAGCTGCGAGGGTCGCGGAGATTTGTCGGAAGAAGGCAGACTTGGAGCAGAGGAAGCTGGTGCGGTGCATCTTCGAGGAGGCCACGCTGGAGGAGAGAGCAAGGATGCCCCCATTTCCGCTCTCACAGCCGTCGGAGTTCGTGATTTGGGCAAGGGCGGAGGCGAAATCGAGCGAACTACGGCGGGCGCTTCGGTGGGAGTGCGTCCTGGGTATGCTGCCACCAAGCGCATGAGGACTGCGGCGAGGAGCGGGGCTCACACCAACCCCCTGCCTTGCCGCGGCGCACTCGAGCCGCCGTGGTTTGGTGACCGCGGCGAGGTTTCTTCTGGCGTTCGTTCAAGGTCACGCGAGGGGGTTTGTATCCCTGAGAATCAGATGCCCGTTGTGGTTCATCAACTTGAGAGACATGTGATTGTTAGGCGGAGCTTATGCTCAGAGAATCAGGGGCTCTCGCCGGTGGCGATGCGCACGCTGCCTGAGTTGGGAGATTTTTCCCCTGTGATTCAAACGGGATTGCCCATGCGGAGTGGCATGGGCCCTACTGCCACGTCGCTCCCACCAATCAAGTGCAGAAGGGTGAAGACGCCTTTGGAGTTTACGCCTTCTACCCAGGACGACGCGGATGAGGCTATATCTAGGGTTTTTGGACAGCTTTGGTCCATTCCTTCCCCTCCCCGCCGCCATCCCCATCCTCGTCCCCCGAGCCGAACTGCTTCCACCTTGGGATGGCTCCGGAAGGATCTAGTTCGTGCTGGTAGCTTCTCCCCATCTGACTTGTTCTCAGTCAAAAAACTCCGGCCCTTTGACCCTCCACCGATACAGCTCAAGATCGTCAGAGAAGGGATCGGAGGTGGTTCCAAATCCTTTGCTCAGGTGGTTGCCATGGCGGACAAGGGCGCGTCAAGCAGAGTGCATAAGCAACGTGCTCCACCCCCGCAGAAGAACCCAGCTCGTCGACATTGGGCCGGTGAGGCGCGTCCCAATCCCACTGGCCCACCCCCCAAAGGCGCTGCCCCTCCCCAACAAGCCCTGGTTGCGCCTCCGTCTGCCCCGCTCATTCAGATCCTCGACGAGTGGTACAAAGACATGGTATGTTTTAACTGTGGCGGTCCTGGTCATTACGTGGGGAATTGCATTCAAAAGAAGATCTGTTTTATCTGCGAATTGGAAGGCCACAACGTCAACAACTGCGGTGCCTGGGCACAACCCCATCCAGTGGCCACTTTCTTTGGAAGCTCGGCCCTGGGGTTAGGGTTCTACCATATTGATGCGCCAGTGGGGCGTGAGGCAAATTGGCTCAATTTTAGGAACTGTGGAGAGGTTTGGGTAATGAAAGGAGAGATCAACAAGGCAGATCTGATCAAGAACCTGTCAGGCATCTTTTGCAAGAACAAAAACTGGTCCTGGCAAGTCAGGCAGCTATCAGATAAAAAATTCCTGGTCAGATTCCCCCCTGGAAGGATGTAGAAGAGCTAATTGAGTTTCCAGCCTTTGATCTGCCTATAGATGGAGTTTCAGTGTCTGTGGAGAAATGGACTGGTGACCCCTTCAGTGAGCTGACTGAAGCCTGGGTGATCGTAGAAGGCCTGTCATCCAAGTGGTGCACATGGAAGGTTCTTTCACAGATCGCTTCGTGCTTTGGGATCCTGGTGGACGTGGACTGGAACGGTCTGATGAAGAGCTTCTATGAGAAAGTGAGGATTAAGATTGCTTGCAGAAACCCAGCGAAAATACCCTTTGAACGGATCATGGAAATGAGGAAAAAGTTGTACATTCTGTCTTTCACAGTGGAAGGGTTCGAGCAAATTGGTGCTGATGATCCCAATGATGACAATGGTCCTACTGACATAGTTGTGGACGAGGATAACAAGGATTTTGAAGATGAGGAAACTGAGAAGGATATCCTTGATGATGGAGAACAACCTATCGATGATTTAGACCTGGCCAACAGGGCTGATAAAGTGAAAACTCCAGTTGGGAAACAAAAGAACAATGAGGACAGTGTTTCCTTCCATCCTGCTATTCTGGTTGAGTCTTGCATTTCTCCTGTGAGAATGGACAAAGTAACAAATGAGAAACCACAAGTGCAGGATGTTTACTATGCAATACCTTTCTCTGATGCTGTCAAGGTATTGAGTGCTCCTAGCATTGAGATCCGTGACATATCTACTCCTCCTGCTGCAATTGGGGGGGTATTGTGTTACTCCCCCGATGTCTAGTCAGAAAAAATACTGCTCTGAGTTACTAAAGGAATTAGATGATGCTGAATCTGATACTGCTAGTGATGCTGCTGATTTTGAAGAGGAGAT